GTAGGCTTAGCACAGATCTTTGTCATATTGAAGACGTTCCCTTGGTTCCTAGTTTGCTGGAAGTTTTTATCAGGAATAGATGTTGAGGTTTGGCAAGTGCCTCTTTTTATCCACTGACATGATCATATGGTTTCTTTTTTCGTTTGTTAATATGATGAATAACATTGATTTCTACGTGTTAAAACAGCCCTGCATTCTTGGGATACACCCGACTTGGTCACGATGAATTATCCTGTATTGTTGGATTTAATTCGCTAATGTTTTGTTTAGAATTTTTACCTCCATTTTCATGACACTAGTTTTCTTTCTTGTAATAGCTTTGTCTGGTTTTGGATTCAGGGTGATGTCAGTTTTATAGAATGAGGACATATTTCTTCCTCTTCGTTTTTTGAGGAGAATTTGTGTAGAACTGGTATCAAATTTTCCTAAAATACTTGGTAGAATTCACCAGTGTAACCACTGGGACTGGAATTTTCTTTGTCGTCAGGTCTTTGGTTTTGGTTTTTAAGATCTAGGGCTTTTTAGCTTATTTGTTCTTTCTTAATTGAGCTTTTGTAATTTCTCTTTCAAGGAATTTTACCCACTTCATCTGAATTGTCAAATCTATTTGCATAATGTTCATAATATTACTTTGTCATTCTTTTAATATCTGCAGAGCTTAGAAGAATGTCTTCCACGTTATAGATGCTCACTATCCATTTGTTCAATGTATGGATGAATGAATGTGAAAGTGCGGTCCTTTATACACAAAAATTATTCATGTATTTTGTTTCTATTTTTGTTTTCTTCCTAATGCAGATTCTGATAGGTTATTGAAAATTCAGGATCCAGTTCATTCATTCAGATCAATAGAACTTAAAGAATCTGACTGTGCACTACTTAGAGGAAAAATTAAAGAAATGGAAAATAAGGTGAACTGGCTACACACAGAGCTGCTGAAAGCAAGAGAAGCAAAATCACAGTTAAAACTTGAAAATGTGGAGCGGGAACGAGAGCTCTGCCGCATGAGGTACTGAATTTCTTGGTTTTAAAGAAATATTTGAACTCTATATTTACTTTAATACTGTAGGTATATAGGAGAAGTCTTATAATTGCTAACTTACCTTTTGGGATTTTACAGGGGAGAAAATTTCATTAATATTGTGGAATTTGAGACTCTTGGAAATAACACAGC